CAACATTATAGCAACATGAAAGGACATCTCTTACAAAGGGAAAAAAGATTACTCATGATCCTACCACCCTAACACCACAACTGTTTTCTTTTTCCAAGTTCTTTTCTCGTTTTTGGCCACATGATAGAAGTTTGCATATAATCTGTGTCCTATTTTTTTGTTTTCACTTAATGTGGTATTTCAAGCCTTTTCTAGTGTTGACCTACTCTTCACATTGGTCTCTCTCTTTCTCTTTCTCAACTGTAAATATCCCAGCCACTTTGAGGCATAATTAATGATTCCTTAACCCTTGGGGATTCTTGCTCATCCCCTCGAATCTTTGAGGTTGGCTCTTGGCAAAGCTGTAAATGAAGGGAAGTTTGTCTTCCGGGCCTATTGGCAACCTTTACAGATCTTCTTTCCTGCTAGCAATTTTAGCCCGAGACGTCTCTTGCCATATCCTGATGCCAGTCTGCTCTCTAAGCCTGTGAGCTTCTCAAGGGCTATTAAAAAATAATAATATAGTTCTATTTCTTTCCTTAAAAGAGCAGTGCATGCTCATGTTTTCCAATTTGAGAAATACAAAACAGCAAAAGAAAATAAAAATCTGCTATAACTTTGCTTGGCAAGATCATATGCCACTGTTCCTTTTTGTTCTCACAAGTATTTTTGGCACTTTTGACCCCAGTTGTCTGTGTTAGGTCCCCTTCCTGTGTTAGGTCCCAGTTTTCTGTGTTAGGTCCAGAGTTAGGTCCCTCCTCTGCTTTCCAGCTTCCTTTCAGAAGCTAACTTACATTGATGATATGATGAAAAAGCTGAATGAATAAACCCTAGAAAGTATACTATCCTGAGGCCTTAGGCCCCAATTGGGGTAAAAATATTCAAAAACAGGTACACAAAACATCAAGAGGGTGACTGAAATTGCCTAGTTTAACCCACAGTAGACTCCATTGACTCATAAAACTGGATTGTATAGAGGCAGGATGGGCTACAGGGCTGGTTTGATCTAGTGGCTCAAAAACGTCATAAAGGGTATGGTTTCTTTCTAACTTCCCTCTCTGCTTCCCTCAGCATTATTCTCTTCTAAGGTAAGCTCCTCTTGTAGTCTAAAATGACTGCCTTATCAGTAGCTTCTGGAGTACTTACTGACTAACTCCTGTCTAGCTGGAGATGAGAAGATCTCTCTCCCACCACCCCATGAATCTGAGATTTCCTCTCTCTGGATCAGTCTGGTTCCTATGGCCACCCATGAATCAATCCTAGTGGTAAGGAGGATGGGATGACTCTGAGTGGTTTAGACCAGCAGGTCTCAAGCTCTAGTCTTAGGACGCTTTACACTCCTAAAAATTACTGAGGATCCCAAAGAATCTTTTTAATGGAGGTTTAATCTATTGATATTTGCCAAATTAGAAATTATATTTATTAAAATTAATAAAAGAGGGGCACCTGGGTGGCTCAGTCAGTTAAGTAGCTGCCTTCAGCTCAGGTCATGATCCCAGAGTCCTGGGATCTCTGCTTGGTGGGGAATCTGCTTCTCCCTCTCCCTGTGCCTCTGCCCCCCACCACCCCCCATTCATTCTCTCTTTCACTCACTCTCTCTCTCAAGTAAATAAAATATTTTAAAAAATAAATTAAATCATCATAAAAATAATAAATTTACATGCTATAACAAGTTAATTAAGAAATAACTATGTTTTAAAAGGCATTAATATCCCCTCCAAAATAACTATGTTTTCCAAAACAAAAAGATGGTGAGAAGAATGGCTTTTTTTTTTTACTTTTTAATTTGCAAGTCTCTTTAAATCTGGTTTAATAGAAGACAGCTGGATTTTCGTATCTCCTTCTGTATTCAATCTGTTGCAAATTGTTTTGGTTCAAGTACAGGAAGAAAATCTGCTTCACATCCATATGTAATTGGAAAGGAGGGTATTTTAACAGCTTTTTAGGATAATTGTGGCTATTCTTCTTTGGTACTATACCAAAACTCTTCAAGAGGTCATATCTTCAAGGCTTGTTGCACTGTGGAATCTGAAACCTTATCTATAAACTTTTCACACTGTTAAAAGTCCATTGTCTGCCTTGCATTTAAAATTCATCTTTAACCCATCTGTGATTTTGTAACATCAGGCATTAGCCATCTGGAAAACCCTGATTCACTGAGTAAGTGCAGGTCTTCCAAGCGTTGGCGCATCATCCATGATCCATTATCCCCAAATCATATATTTGTTAACATCACCATCAGTCCCATCAGAAAAGTCCTTAAATATTGAGAAGCTGTCCCATGGTGATGCAAACTCTTCCAACATTCTACATTTCTTTTGAAAGCTGGAATTTTTTCATCATTGGCAACTAACAGCCCATTGTTTTCCTTGGAGAGACAGGCTCACCTAATTGTCAAGAAAATGTCTACTAAATAACTGTAATTTGTCAGTTGCTTTCTCAAGTAAAAATGGTGTTCCATGACCCCCACCCTTCACAAAACCAGCTGGTACAGCTTGCAGTCACATGAGAACTTTCCCCTGGACAACCACCTTGCTTCAGTCCCCAGCAGGACGGTTTTATGGGCATTGTCCACTTTGTCATATAAAATATTAAAAAGATATGTGCTTAAGGGTTGAGATTTCAATAAATTAAGTAATATTTACTGCTCCATCAAGAACATTCTTAAACCAAATAGCATTTTTTTAATTAAAAAAAAATTTTTTTACCATGAGTGTAGCAGTGAAGGATATTAGTGTGATATTAGTGCCTTGATGTGTGAAGGCACCAGTATTTTGCACACCTTTACCTTTGCACCATCAATGAGAAAGGTAACTTATATCTTAGATCATAAGGAACTAATTTTGACTTCAGAGATTCCCTGAAAGGTCCTCAGGGACCCGTAGGGCTCCACGGACCATACCTTGAGAACCTCTGACCTAGACCCATCAAAGCTCACTCATACAGTTAAGAGTGGGGCAAATTTACCTAAACCATATGTTGCATCAAAGCGGGGGAGAGGGAGCAGATACTGGGGACAACCACAATGTCTGCTGTCGGAATGACCTAAGTAATGAACATAAGGAGCTAAATAAAGAATTACAAAATCATGGTAGCTGTCCCAGATTTACAAACAGTCTGGCCGCTTTGCTAGCCAGGGTCCTGAGCTTTTCTGAGACGAGCCACTGACCTGAAGAGATTCCAGGTAAGGCTTTGAGAGCTAGCGGCTGATCTTAATCTACAGTAGGTAGGATCTCTATCTCAATGCAGAGCACTAGCTTAGGACAACTCTGCAGCTAGGAAAAAAGATGTTTCAGGGCAGGGGCTTGTCTTGTTGCACAAGTCAGCTTCTCTTCCCACCCAATGTGAAGGGGGTGAACGAGGTAGTGGGTGCAGCGTAAGTTTAACAGCCATCCCGTTAGGCTGGGACAGGAGGCAGATTCAAGCTCCCTTTCTTTCTCACACCCACCTTACACCCACTCTTCCAAGCCAGGGCACCTGGATCTTTATGTCAGCCATAATGCTGTCATGGCATTTTACCAACAAGGAGTATCTATTTGGGAGAAAGGGAAAGAGAAGCTGGGGCAAAGAGAGGTAAAGAGTATCTGATCAAGCCGTCTGGCCTTGGGCTGGTCTCCACGAGAAGTGGTGAGGTGTTCAGCATTCTCCCTGAAGCTGTCACTGACTGCCCCCCCAACCCCCACCCTCCCTCCCCAGCAGCTGCTCTGCCTGGCCAGCCTTGGCCAATCTACTGGATTTAGATCTCTGTGACAGCTTTTCCTCCAATATATTCAAAATGCTCCCATGTCCTCACATTAGAATGACCTAAAAAACATTTTTATGGCAAAATCTCTTTGGAAGGTATGACAGCAGGGTCTCCCCACCCCCACCCTTTCCTTTTCAAGATTTCCCTTTCTGACCTTTGTTACCCAGATACCACATTTTTTCCAGCACCCCGGCCCCCACCAGGGAAAGAACACAGACATTTCCAAACCCCGTTGGGAGCTGTGCAAACCCTTTACAAACTGTTGCAAAAAAGAGTGACAAAACTCTCAGTTGACTTAAATACATTTGACTCAGTGTCTAGGATCTTCCTTTTTAAACCAGAACCAGTATCACTGATACCGGTGATCACGTGATTCTATCTGTTCACCTGAAAGGAAATTCTGAAGGCAGACCAATTTCACCGAGCTCACTGAGGAGTCAACAAGTGCTAAAGCACAGAAATGTTGCAGGCACACTATACACATTCTGCTGTGTTAAAGAAATAACATATCAGTGCTTTAAACTCCTTTTCATTCTTGAATTTGGGGATTCACTAATATTTATGCCTTAAAAATATGTATGACATTTCCTCTCCAGAATCAAGGGAGACTCCTGAGGTATGGAAAGCGGCTCTCCAAGAGCACATTGGTGATCTTCTCTGCCACCAAATGGCTCAGTGATTTAGGGTAACTCACTTGTGCTCTCTGGGCCTCAATAACCCAACTGTGAGACTAGTGGGTAATCGGCACTATTTTCTTCTTCTTGGACATGTGGAACAATAAAAAGATGTTTTGCAAGTCCCCAGACACACGCCCAGGCTGCCCTGGTGTAGTTCTCAAGGGTCTCATGGACCCAGGAATTCTGAACCCTGGTGGGCCTGGGGTGTTGTGCTGGCAAGTGAAGCACGTGACTACGTAAAGCCCCTCCATCCACCGGCTCCGCAAGTACCAGTCCTAAGCGCAGTAAAAGCCTACAACCAGTCCAGCTGTACCTTTTGTTCTTTCATCAGCTAACCGCACGCAGACTTCCAGTGACCGGTGGGTGCTCAACACCCTGGCTCCTCCCAGCCTACCCTCGGGGTTCCCCAGCTACGCTGGGTGGAGGGGTCGCGCGTCCCGGGGGCGGGGCCGCCGCGGGACCCCCCCCCTCGCGAGTTCGGATTGGTCTCTCCTGTCCTCGTGACTCCAGGCCCCGCCCCACGTCCCTCCTCCGCATCCGTGCGGGGGAGCGGACGGTCGGGCGCTGAATGGGCGCTAGCGCGGCGCGGGGGACGGGCGGGGGCGCGGGGCCCGGGACTGGTGGCCGGCCGGCGCCCCCTCCCTAGCATGCGGACGAAGGCGGCGGGCGGCGCGGAGCGGCGTCCCCTGCAGCTGCGAACAGAGTCGGTGGCGGCGGCACCTGCCGGCCGAGGTAAGTGGCGCAGCCCCCTCCTCGGCGTAGCCGGGCCCGCGGGCTGGGGGCGGCGGCGGCGGCGGCGATCAGTCCCTGCCCCTACCTCGCTGGCCCGGCGGCTCCGCGTCGGCCCCCGCGGGCAGCGCCTAGGGCACGGCGCCCCTAGACGCGCCTCGCGGGGGCGCGGGCTGAGAATCGTGGTCTCGGGCCCCGTGGACGGGGCGGGGGTCGCCGCGCCAGCGTGGACGTGGTTAGAGGCACAGGGGTGAACCCCCAGGATGTCGGGTCCAGCCGCAGTGGTCCTTTCTCCCCCGGCTTCCCGCAGCGGCTCGGAGTTTAATTCATTGCTGGAAGCTTCCTAGCCGGCGGAGCAGAGTTAACTCATTATCCTGGAACGGGATTGGGGGACCCTTTGCAGGGTAATTAGCAGGTTCCCAAACTGCTCATTGCATCCTTCGGAAAGGCACGATGTCTGGCGTCTGTAGGTAGAAATTCGGCAGTGACCTTCCTTGCCCCCTCTCTGCAGCCCTACGGAAGAGGCACGTTTTGGTAACCCTTTGCTTTCCTCTGAATTGTAGGTGACTTGACGTGGGCATGCATTCATTATACGCCGTTAGTGTGTAAGTAACATAAGGTTTTCCTAGGGCATCTCTCAGAGGAACCGGGCGAATAGGGAGAGGCGGGATCTTGTCCCTGCTCCACAAGAGCTGGGTGACCTTGGCCGACACTGGTCCCCAGGTGGGGCTCTATCTCCTGGTCTCTACTGGGAGGCTTGAGCTGCTGATGGCTGTGGTCCCTTCCAGGCCTCTGGATCAGTGGTTCTGACTGAAGAATGTGTTGGCCAGTGAAGAGAGGGTCCTGCAGATCAGGAGATAACTTGGAAAAATGAATTTGATATCCTCTTGTCTTAATTCGTGTCCGTGGCCTTTGTTTAATTAGGTATCGTTCTTCTAAAAGAGAAAATAGTTTCATGTGCTGCGTTTAATCTGGCACCCTTTGGTTGCCTGCTTGTGGTGCCAAGCAGGGAGCTGGGTGCTGGGGTTTGGAAGAGGAAGGAGACTCATCTCTGGCCCTCTGGTGTTTAGCCTCCCTCTCCTCTTGATTTATAACTGCTAATCCTCTTCTGTAGTGGGCTGCATGTCCTGAAACTGGAAGAGAAATCCGTCTGTTGAGTAAAGGAGCACAGACTCAAAAACACCATCCGTTGTGGTTTCACTTGTGTAATCTGGAGAGTTTGACAGCTTAGGAAAATGTCTTACATTTCTAGTCTTAGAGCTAGGATCACCTAAATTCTAACCAGTGCTTGCTTGGGCAGGAGATGCCTGTGAGCTGCCAGAGCCCCATAACCAGGATGTCACGAGTATTTTTTCGTGTCTGTCCATTATGTGCGTGCTGCTGTTTTTGTAAAATGAAATGAACCTTAGTTATGATCTATAGCCATTTCTTCCTCAGGCCAGAAAAGAAATGGGTGAGATGAGAAAGCATAAGGGGGTTAATGGAAGAGTGAGAGGGCCAACAGGCGTAAATTCCAAAAACTCAATGTTTATGACTACGTATTTTGAAAATGCTTATGATTTTGGCACAAACTGCCAAGTTAGCCCCATGCTATTTGGCAGCAGTGGGGAAAATGTATCTAGCAGGTTGGCTCTGGGGAGGGGAACAGACAATAAAAAGAGTTTCAGAGTTCTCTGTGGGATTCCATCCAGGTGTTGGGGGTGGTGGTGGGCAGAGGAGTGTGTCTTGGAGCCAGCAGTTCCTGGGAGAAGGATCGAGGCTCATCTTCCACACCCTTCTAGCTCCTGAGGAACAATTTAATCTGAACTGCCTATGGAGGGTTGAGATCATCCCAGAGGGCATGCTCTGTGTCTTTAGTCTAGCTGCGCAGTGTTGGCAGAATAAAACAGCTGGGAAGATACACAATGATGGTACAAACTTTCCAACTGCCCAGAAAGGAAAAGCTAGGGCTGGATCAGCGTGAATGACCTGAGTTAGCAAAGGCATTCAAAATGGGGAGGGGGCCACAAGTCACCAGCCTGGTGTGGGAAGAAACCATAAATATGGTGCTGACAGGTGGGCTCCCCAAGGAGAGAGACTTTAAGCACACATGCTGGGGGGTGGGGAGTGGGGGGAGCAAGGAAGTTGTGCATGGGAGTGAGAGACAAATGAGATTAGAGGAGTCCAAGGACACTCCCAGGCTTGTCTTACCTAGCAAGCTAGCTTGCTTGCTTGCTTCTTTCTTTCTTTCTTTGCCATACACAATAGAAAAGTAGACATACTGTAAGTGTACTGTTCACAAATGTTCTCCAAACTGAACACAGCCCTGCACTCAGCTCAAGAAGCAGGAGCTCCCTGTGTGCTCCCTGCAGGTCCCTACCTCCCCAAGGATCCTGCAGTGTCTGGGAGAACATCTTCCCTCATGAGTTAGGTTTCTGGTACTCACTCATGGTGCTGCCTCTCGTTGTAGTGTGCTCACTCTTGTTGCTGATTCCAGCCATTGGGTGAATAATAGATCACATATTTATCCGTGCACTGTTGATGGACATTTGGGCAGTTTCCAGCATTTGGCTATCGTACATAATGCTGTTATGACTGGTGGCTGTTCTCGTACCTATCTTTGATATATATATGTATGCATTTCTGATGGGCATATGGTCAGTGTGTAATAAAGGGGCCATGGGCGTGTGTACTCAGCTTTGGGAGCTGCAGGCAAAGCTATTTTATTCCAATTTTTGAATAATTACATTGTTACTAGCCTAGTGATCAATATGGTTATTAAATGGTAATTAGTGGTTACTTTTTATTAGTATAGGGTTAGTAATACTTCTCTTAGCTGATGGATGGACCATTGACTTTTCACTAAGGAGAGAGGCAGGAGTCCCACCAGGAGTCATGATCCGTTTCTACTTGGCTATGGCCCATGTCCCATATGCTCACGGCAAGTGCAGTTACCTCTATGCCCCAGTCTCCCAAGTCAGGCAGCAGGACAGGCCGAGCTGAGGGGAAAACAAAAGCAACGTTGTCAGGGAAGAGTTTCTCTGGCCAAAGTGCTTTACCATATCTCAGCTCTCAGCCTTCTTGCTGCAAACACTTCTGAGAACCTCTTCTCCCTCTGCTTTTGTACTGTCATACTTTCTGTACTTGTTTCTATTTCTCTGATCTGCCTTCTCTGTACTCCTGGATTTCTGCTAAGAATTCCCCCACATCCTAAAGGAAAAGCATATTTCTTGGTTAGTCTTTTGAGGCCATGCAAGACAGTTTTGTTTTCTTCTTCCGGCATGAAGAAAATATCCAGGATTAAGTTATTGGATGGTTCGCCAACTCCTAAAACCTACAAATCCTTCTCCTTTTCCCTTCAAGTTTTTAGTATCTGGAATCATTATAGTTAAGTATCATATGATATGATTAATTCAAAGAGAGAAATTTGGTAAAAAATAACAAATGGAAAAGCTCTACGTTAGTGGAATAAGCGTTCTGCCTTTTGAACATTAAGGCTGTTTTTAATACTGTCATGTTCATATTTAAAGGCTTAAATGTACTGAGTTCAGAGCAGAAGTAGTTGTTCTATTATTTGTGTATAGTTCCTTCTTCCCTGGCCGCTTTTTCTCATGTTCTGCTTTTTCATCCTTTTCTGTCTTGTTTTTCATCTCCTTTCTGCTTTTCACAAACATCTTGGTCTCATTTCCTATCTAGACTCCAGCAGCAAGAGAGGAAGACAGAGTATGGTACTTCAGCAGGGCTGCTAACACTCTCTTCTCTTTGCTTATTATTTTCTACCGTCAAGTCCTTAGTCTTCCAGGACTTGGTTGGTGTGGGCTCCTTGCTTATCCTTTCTCTAGACCAGTGCTGTCCAGTGAGAAGATAACCCAAGCCACACATAATTTAAAATTTTCTAGTAGCTACATTTAAAAAATTAAAAAGAAACAGGTACATCAGAGTTTCAGTTTCTGAATACCATAAGAACTTCTAAACTCTTATGCACCTGATAACACAGCTTCAAACTATGTAAGTAAAAAGTAACAGAAGGATAAAAAAGTTGACAAATCTGCCAGCATACTGGGAGATTGTAACATACATCTTTGAGTAACTGATAGAACAAGCTGACTGAAAATAAATAAGGGATTATGCCAGCAAACAATACACGTGATCACACTGATTATATAGAAAACAGGAAGTGAAGATTATACTTTGAGTCTATACCTGGTCATGAAGTAAATCCTAACATATTTAAAAGAATCAGTATCATACAAAGTTCTCTGAACATAGCGCAACTAAATTATATCCATTTTGAAAGATACTTTGAAAAATTTGAAAATTTGAATTTGAAAATATTTAAATTTGAAAGATAAGTAATAATAATAAACATATATGTCAAAACCTGTGGGATGAATTGTACACTTAAAAAAAACTTGTGAAGAAAAAAAACTTGTGAGGTGCAACTGACTTGGTTTTTAGGGGAAATGTACAGTCTTAATTGCTCATATTAACATGAAAAACAGCAAAAAGTAGTGATTTAATTAGCTAAATTAAGAAGTTAGGAACATAGCCGTTAAAATACATCCAATGAGGGGTGGTCTAGGTGGCTCAGTTGGGGATATCAAGAGTCGGACGCTTAACCAATCAAGCCACCCAGGCACCCCATGAAATTAATTTTAATAAAATATTTTAGTTAACCCAATATGTCCACTATATTATGAAATCAGTATACAAATTTTAGTGAGGAATTTTACATTCTTCTGTTCAAACTCAGTCTTCAAAGCCCGGTGTGAGCCTCACTTACATAGAGCACATCTCGATTTGGTTTGGCCACATATGAAGTACTTCACAGCCACACGTGGCTAGTGGTAACTGCATTGGACGGCACAGCTCTGCATCTTTGCCTGTAAACATTGAGATGATTTGTCTTGATAAAGGGGACGGTCGGAGCTCATTCTGGTGGTGGGGTTCAGGTGCCTGCCAAGCAAATCTAGGATCAGAGGAATCTAGCAGTGTTTTTTGGTTGGCAAAGAGGCAGTGGGCTC